CTTCTACCCACCCCCCCCGTGCCAGCAGGGGGGAGAATGGGGCTGGGGCTGCCCCCCCGTAATCTGCAGCCCCACTTCCCCCTCCCGCCTCTCCTTGCAGTCTTCTGCCGCGTGTACATGCCCGACCACTCCTACGTCACCATCCGCAGCCGCCTCTCCGCCTCCGTGCAGGACATCCTGGCCGCGGTGACGGAGAAGCTGCAGCACTCGGAGGAGCAGAGCGCCCGCGAGGAAGCCCTCGTCCTGGTGGTGGTGGCGTCGTCTGGAGGTGACTGGCCTAGGGGGTGACACCGCGGGGGCTCGGTTCCCCTGGGCGGAGGGTAAATCTGAGCAAGGCACGTTCCAGCTTCCCGGGGGCCTTGGGGGACCGTTACTGGGGCAGGGTCTGGGCCGACATCGCTGCCCTCTTGCTCCCTGCTGTGGATCAAACCAAGGCCCTGCCAGCCCCCTCGGGGTCTGCCCGATGCACGGTGAGCTCGCGGTGACGTCCTCTCTGGGCACCAGCAGGGGGCGCTCTGTGTGGTTATCTGGGCACAGGGGCCACGCCGGGTCTCTGGCTGAGGGGCGGGTGCAGACACGGGCTGGGGGTGGCTGGAGAGAGCAGCTCCCCAAGGGCATCTGGGCAGGCAGAGTGTTTTCCGGGTGGCTCTGGGTGTCTAACCTGCGGGCACTAGCCAGCCTGAGCAGGGAGCCTGGGCAGAGGGAGGTGTCCTGGGTTGGGGGGGAGTGTCTGGGAGATGTGGGGAGGGGGAGCTAACTCCGCCCCTCTTTCCTCCCCCCCCCCTCCCCAGAGAAGGCCGTGCTGCAGCCCAGCGAGGAGTGCGTCTTCACCACACTGGGAATCAACAGCCACCTCTTCGCCTGCTCCAAGGACGCCATCGAGTCCTTGGTGAGACCCCCGCCCCTTCCTCACCCAGCCCAGCTTCCTGCTGGTAGCCCGGAGGGGCCACATGGTACCAGCAGGGCCACAAAACAGAAAGGGGCTGGAACCCAGTTTACTGCCTATGCCCTCCCGTTGGAGGAACCCGCCAGAGTTTCCCTTCTCCCCCTCGTCCTATACCCCAGGTTCTATTCGCACCCCAGCCCTGCCAAATCTCCTGGGTTTCCCAGTCACTGCTTTAGGAAACAAATCTTGACCCCCGGATCGCTGCACTTGCACTGAAATGCAGCCACTTCTGGGGTGGGGCGGGGCCTGGCTGCCCAGCAGCACATAGTGGGGATTTAGAAATCCAGCGCCGAGCTCTGAAGCTGCAGGGGGCAAAGCGGCGGCCCCAGGGCTGGGATGTGGCCAGGGCCCGGGGGTCAGTGCCCTGACTCTTGCAATAAGCATCATGAAATCTTAAAGGGCTCCCAGGATCTGACCGCTAGGCAAGGCAGCCTTTGGCATGCAATGCCACTATAGTTGCTGGACCAGTCTTCATGTGCCCCAGCCCCTTGGCGCTACGTGGAGCAGCAGCGCAGGTGCCCTTTGTACCAGGGACGTGTGGCCATGGGGCTGGCACAGGGCTGCTGGTCTTAGCAAAGGGAGACTGGTTGCTTTAGCCGTGAGGTTCTCTCCCCTTCTGAGCACTTACGGGTTGGAGGAGAAACTCCCCTCCTGGAATGCACCGGCTTTTCCCGCGGATACGGTTCCACGTTCCCGTCCGAGGGGTTGCTAGAGGGGCCAATCCCCCGAGCACCTTGCCCTCTCTCAACACCGCCTCATGGCAAGTCACGCCCCCTCCCGGCAGGTCCCACTCCCCGAGGAGATCCAGCCCTCGCCGGGCGACACCGAGATCCACCGCGTGGAGGCTGAGGAAATAGCCAATCACATGACGGCCTTTCACTGGGAACTCTTCCGCTGCATCCATGAGGTGAGCTCGGAGGGGCCCGCCTGCGCATCCCGGGCCCGTGTGCATGGACAGGCCAAGGAGACACGGAGTGGGGCATGCAACCTGCAAAGCAAACGGACAAAAACAACCCCTCCCCCATGTGCGGTGGAAAACCTGCATGTTTTTGTAGGCCCTGAGCCTGGCCACCGGAGAGAGGAGCAGGGGTCTGGTTGGGTCAACAAAAAGGGCAGTTGGACAATCCTCTCCATGGAGTCAAACGCCGTTTTGGTGCCCAGCTCTGAGATGGGGCCTTTGCTCCTCTTTGCTGATTTGAATCCAGCTAAGGACAACAGGCAGCAAATGCCATTCGCTTCGGGTGGGTCTGTGGCCCAGACGTGGCATGAGTTTGGTGGGGATCGGTCACGTTCCCAGAAGACAGGTGGGCCAGCAATGACTGGGCCCCCTGCTGCCAGGCAGATCACAGGGCTCCAGAGTCTCTGGTCCCTCTGGGCAGGTGATCAATGGGGCAGAGTGTGGGGCTTTGCTATAGGGGAGGGGGTTGGGGAGTGGGAACAGGCTGAGGTCTGAGCTCAGGGTTCGGGCCGTGGTGCAGGTGGACCCGGCTGTGGAGTGATGCCGGCTGTGTCTCTTTCCCGTGATTTGCAGCTGGAGTTCGTGGACTACGTCTTCCACGGGGAGCGGGGCCGTCGGGAGACAGCCAACCTGGAGCTGCTGCTGCAGCGCTGCAGCGAGGTGCAGCACTGGGTGGCCACCGAGATCCTGCTGTGCGAGTCGCTGGGGAAGCGCGCGCACCTGCTCAAGAAGTTCATCAAGATCGCAGCCGTGTGAGTGCCACGGAGGGTCCTCCATGGGGCCCTGCACGGGGCTGCGACAGGGATCCCTCTTCCCCTCGCAGTCCCAGACACTCTCAGTCCCTCGGCCACAGCTCGGCATTGCGGGGTGCCCAGCTGGCCTCGCCCGTGTGGGGAGCTGGGACGCCTGCAGTAGCCTGGAATCAGGGCATTGCCTCGTGCTCAGGTCAGGTGTGAACATTGGTGCTGTTGCAGCCGGAGGCTGCAGGGCCCTGACTGGGGAGGCACTGGGGAGGCTCAGTAGGGGGCGCTCTCCCCTGGTGGGCAGTGCTGACCCCAGTGCCCCAGGGCAGCACTAGGGGGCGCTGTGCTGCAGGGCCCGGACTGAGGGGCTCAGTAGGGGGCGCTCTCCCGTGTTGGGCAGGGTTGATACCAGTGCCCCAGGGCAGCACTAGGGGGCACTGTGCTGCAGGGCCCGGACTGAGGGGCTCAGTAGGGGGCGCTCTCCCGTGTTGGGCAGGGCTGATCCCAGTGCCCCAAGGCAGCACTAGGGGGCGCTGTGCTTCAGAGCCCGGAGTTCTACAGTGGGATCCAATGGGGATGAGGGACGCTGGTCAAGGGGCTGCTCCTCACTTGCCCCCAGGGTCCCAATGAGCCAGGCCCAGCTGGAGGGCTGCGGGTTATGTGCCAGGATCTGTCCTGCTTTAACCCATTAGTGCCTGGCCCCTGAGCCTCCGGCTCTGTGTCCCCAGGTGCAAGCAGAACCAGGACATGCTGTCATTCTACACCGTGGTGATGGGGCTGGACAACGCGGCCGTCAGCCGGTTACGACTCACCTGGGAGGTAAGGGGGGGGTCTCTGCTTGTCGGCGCAGAGTCTGGGACCCCCGTCAGGCCGGGCAGGGCTCCCCATGGCTCGTGGGAGCCAGCCAGGTCACTTTGCCCTGACGCCGTGGACTGCACCCAGCCTGGGGCCACTCTGGAGAACCCAAGGGTGCTCCTGGGAACAGGAGGCTCATAGGGGGAAAACTCCTCTTGTGCTCAGTGCTGGCCCCAGTGCAGCCCTAGGGGGCGCTGTGCTGCAGAGCGGAGCGGGGCGGGGCTCAGTAGGGGGCGCTCTCCCCAGCACTCTGGGCTGACTCTAGCGCCGTGCTCGGGGGCTGGGCTGCTGTGTCCCAGAGGCTGGAGCTTTTTGGAGGTGCTGAAGACCCTACCCACAGCCCTGTCCATCGGAGTTGGGGTTTAACCTGATGCCCAGGCTGAATTCCAGCCTTGGCCTTGGCCCTGCCGTTTCTCCTGGGTACTTGGTGCCGGCGAGGCGCCACAGCGGTGCACACAGCCGCCATCGTCCACCCCAGAGGTGGCTGCATCTCGGTGCTCGTTCTGCAGCTGCAGAGCCTGTGGGGAGCCCAGGGGCTGTTCATCTTCCTCCCTCCCAAGGAACAAACCCAGGAAAGAAACACTCGGCCCCTCCCTCTGCTAACAAGGGCCCTGCCTGTCCGCCCCTTCCACGAGAGAGCCCTGCCCAGACTCCGGATTAGCGGCACATTCCTGAGCCTCCCTGCCCCCTCTCTGGGGAGGGGTGACCTGCCTGGGGATGGTGCCCACACCTCCGCCCCTGCAGTGGAGCCGAGTCGCCCAGGATGCCCGTGTGCCAGGGACACCTGGCAGTTGGCAGCGAGCGGCATGGCATGGGGGTAGCTGCTGGAGGCACTGGTGCTAGGAGGGGGGAGGGGAGCCTGGCCCCGGGGCTGGGTACCCACCGGTTCCTTTTTGTTTTTCAGAAGCTTCCCAGCAAGTTTAAGAGCCTGTTCCGGAAGTTTGAGACTCTGACGGTGAGACCCTCCCCTGGGGGGCCGGGCTGAGCGTGCGGGGGGGCGTCCCTGGCTCACCGCTCTCGCGCCACGGTGCTGGGGGGCAGGACAGGGCACCCACGAGTGTTTGGGGAACTTGGCACCTGCACGGGTCCCCATGCAGCTCGGCTCCAGCAGCAGTCCAAGGACACAGCCGAGAGCAGGACAAACACGAGGGGCTGGGGACCGTCGGGT